AGATTTTCAAAGATAAAATGTATTTTAACTACATAATCAATAGAGCCCCGCCATAACACAAGAACCCCTGACCCTGGGGCCATAAAATTCATAATTGTTGAAGAGGCATGCTTCCTCATCATTACTATATACTTAGTTAAGTTTATTCAATAACCAGGAGCAGAGAAGAAGATTTTCAAAGAATTAAGGTATTTTCACTATATAATCAATAGAGCCCCACCCTAACACCAGAACCCCTGACCCTGGGCCATAAAATTCACAATTTTGGAAGAGGCATTCTTCCTCATCATAAATATATACATGTACTTACTTTGCTTAATTAATACCCAGGAGCAGAGAAGAAGATTTTCAAAGAATTAAGGTATTTTCACTATATAATCAATAGAGCCCCACCCTAACACCTGAACCCCTGACCTTGGGGCCATAAAATTCACAATTTTAGAAGAGGCATTCATCCTCATTATAACTCTGTACTTAGTTTATTTAATACCAAGGAGCAGAGAAGAAGATTTTTAAAGAAATAATGCATTTTCACTATATAATCAATTGAGCCGCACCCTGGCACTAGAACCCCTGACCCTGGGGCCATGAATTTCACAATTTTGGTAGATGACTCAATGGTCATTACATTCATGCTACATGTAACATCACTCATCTGAGCACTGTAGCTTTGAAAAAAGCAGAAATCAGTTTATTATTAAAGATTAAACCCAAAAGTGGTCCCAACCAATCCTTAAAGGGGAGAGGGTATGGTTTGAACAAACTTGAATCTACACTAACTAAGGATGCTTGCATATTTCTTTGACTACCTGTGGCTTTATTGCCCTTTACATTTGAACTTACATTGTGGTCCCGCCCTACCCCCAGGGGTCATGATTTGAACAAAATTGAATCAATACTACCTAAGGATGCTTCCATATAAATATGTTTAATCATGGCTTTGCTATTCCTGAGAAGATTTTTCTAGAATTTCCCTATAAATTTCTATGTAAACTTTGATCCGCCATTGAAACCTTGCTCTACCCCCGGGGGTCATGATTTGAACCAAGCTAAATCTACACACCCTGGGGATGCTTCCATATAAATATTCATGTCTTTGTTATTCTTGAGAAGAAGATTTTTAAAGAATTTCCCTATATATTTCTATGTAAAAATTTGATCGGCCATTGTGGCCCTGCCCAACCCAGGGGGTCATGATTTGAACAAACTTGAATCTACGCTACCTGAAGATGCTTCCATATATGTTTCATCTTACCTGGCACAGTGGTTCTTGAGAAGATTTTAAAGAATTTTCCTATATATTTCTATGTAAAAATTTGATCGGCCATTGTGGCCCCGCCCAACCCAGGGGGTCATGATTTGAACAAACTTGAATCTATGCTACCTGAGGATGCTTCCATATATGTTTCATCTTACCTGGCACAGTGGTTCTTGAGAAGATTTTAAAGAATTTTCCTATATATTTCTATGTAAAGATTTGATCAGCCATTGTGGCCCCACCCTACCCCAGGGGGTCGTGATTTGAACAAACCTAAATCTAGACAATTTGAGGATGCTTACATATAAGTTTCAAGTTTCCTGGTACAGTGGTTCTAATCTTGAGAAGAAGATTTTGAAAGAAATTTCCTTAATATTTCTATGTTAAACTTTGATTCGCCATTGTGGCCCCGCCCTACCCCCGGGGGTCATGATTTGAACAAATTTGAATCTACACTACCTGAGGATGCTTTCATATATGTTTCATCTTTCCTGGCACAGTGGTTCTTGAGAAGAAGATTTTAAAGAATTTTCCTATATATTTCTATGTAAAAATTTGATTGGCCATTGTGGCCCCGCCCTACCCCAGGGGTTTATGATTTTGACAAACTTGAATCTGCACAATCTGAGGATGCTTCCATATAAATATGATCATTCATGCCTTTGCTATTCTTGAGAAGATTTTTAAAGAATTACCATATATATTTCTATATATGTAAAACTTTGATCAGCCATTGTGGCCCCGCACTTACCCCAGGAGTCACGATTTGAACAAACTTGAATTTACACTACCTGAAGATGCTTCCATATATGTTTCATCTTACCTGGCACAGTGGTTCTTGAGAAGATTTTAAAGAATTTTCCTATATATTTCTATGTAAAAATTTGATCGGCCATTGTGGCCCCGCCCAACCCAGGGGGTCATGATTTGAACAAACATGAATCTATCCTACCTGAGGAATCTTCCATATATGTTTCATCTTACCTGGCACAGTGGTTCTTGAGAAGATTTTAAAGAATTTTCCTATATATTTCTATGTAAAGATTTGATCAGCCATTGTGGCCCCACCCTACCCCAGGGGGTCGTGATTTGAATAAACCTAAATCTAGACAATTTGAGGATGCTTACATGTAAGTTTCAAGTTTCCTGGTACAGTGGTTCTAATCTTGAGAAGAAGATTTTGAAAGAAATTTCCTAAATATTTCTATGTTAAACTTTGATTCGTCATTGTGGCCCCGCCCTACCCCCGGGGGTCATGATTTGAACAAATTTGAATCTACACTACCTGAGGATGCTTTCATATATGTTTCATCTTTCCTGGCACAGTGGTTCTTGAGAAGAAGATTTTAAAGAATTTTCCTATATATTTCTATGTAAAAATTTGATTGGCCATTGTGGCCCCGCCCTACCCCAGGGGTTTATGATTTTGACAAACTTGAATCTGCACAATCTGAGGATGCTTCCATATAAATATGATCATTCATGCCTTTGCTATTCTTGAGAAGATTTTTAAAGAATTACCATATATATTTCTATATATGTAAAACTTTGATCAGCCATTGTGGCCCCGCACTTACCCCAGGAGTCACGATTTGAACAAACTTGAATTTACACTACCTGAGGATGCTTCCCTAAAAGTTTCAAATTTCCTGGCAGAGTGGTTCTTGAGAAGAAGATTTTTAAAACATACCACCAAATTTTCATTATTTCTGAATTATCTCCCCTTGAATGAGGGCGTGGCCCTTCATTTGAACAAACTTGAATCCCCTTCACCTAAGGATACGTTGTGGCAAGTTTGGTGGAAATTGGCCCAGTGGTTTTTGAGAAGAAGATGAAAATGTAACAAGAGGCCCAGGGGCCACAGCGCTCACCTGAGCACATCGGCTAGGAAAAAGCACATATCAGATCAGAACTGAATGTTGAGGTTGGGGGGGGGGTGAATTTTAACCCCCCAGGGGATCATGATTTGAACAAACTATAATCTACACCACCTGAGGATGATGATTCCATATAAATATCACTAATCATGGCTTTGAAGTACTTGAAAAGATTTTAAAAGGTTTCCCTATATATTCCTATGTAAATCTTTGGTTGGCCATTTCGGCCCCACTCTATCCCCGGGGGACATGATTTGAACAATTTGAATCTACACTACCTGAGGATAATTTCACATTATTTTCATTTTTCCTGTCTCAATGGTTCTTGAGAAGAAGATTTTAAAAGATTTTTCCTATATACTCCTATGCAAAACTTTGATCGGCCATTTTGGCCCCACCATACCCCTGGGGGTCATGATTTGAACAACCTAGAATCTACACTATCTAAGGATGATTCCATATGAGTTTCATCTTTCCTGGCCCAGTGGTTCTTAAGAAGATTTTTTTAAAATGCCATTAATTTTTCTCTAATTTATAATTATCTCCCCTTGGAAAAGGGTGTGGCCCTTCATTTGAACAAACTTGAATCCCTTCACCCAAGGATACTTTGTAGCAAGTTTGGTTGAAATTGGCCCAGTGGTTGAGAAGAAGGTGAAAATGTGAAAAGTTTACAACGACGACAACAGAGAACGGACAAATTTTGATCAGAAAAGCTCACTTGCGCCTTTGGCTCATGTGAGCTAAAAAGTATAAAACAATGTCAATGATGCCAATGCCGACAACAACGACAGATGACGAACAAATTTTGATCAGAAAAGCTAACTTGAGCCTTTGGCTCAAGTGAGCTAAAAAACACCGATGGATTTTTTTTTAATGTTTAATGTCATTCAAAGACAATATTTTTCTATGATATGACAAAATGAACACAAGGCCAATTGTGACTACAAACAAACAGACAGACACACTCTTCCATAGAACCTGTATTCCTTTAAAAAATATATATTAATATACACCTGTATTGCTTTTTCCTCCAAATAGGAATTCTTTCGTAGATTTAATTTTACAGAAATAAATACATGTATTGTCAAAAAACAAGAATCACTCATGTATTCAAGATTAGAACATTCAATATGCAGTTAATTTATAACATAAATTATTAGTAGCAAACAAATAACAATATATATGTACTTTCTAACAAAATTACTTAAGAATCTTCAAGCATCATTGCAAAATGATTGCATTAGTATTACCTGCAGATTCGTTTAAATGACACAGGTAAATTTTCATGGGCCACACAGGTAAAAGCTATTTTTAAACATTTCAACCGATTGATAATTATGCACACTCAAAACTGTGAAATGTCTTATGATTTATACTCAAATGTGAGTTACGTATATATCCTGCATTGGTCTAATTGAAGAGAAAAAAGCCCCTATGATTTTAGAACTTTTTTATCCAGTGGGACTTAAAATCATTATTTATCACGATGGCCCTATCCTAAATTCCTTATGATGGTATTTCCTTCTAAGTTTAATGAAACAAACAAAAGAAATGAAAGAATGTACAGTTATTTTTTCTAAAGGTTAATTCATTTTGAAGAAATAAAGCTTTACCATCATTTCACACTGGAATGAAATGATTTTTCAAGAAATGACAAAAATGACCCTCAAGACACCTCTGAATTCATAATAAGATAAGGGGAAAAAATAAATAAATTTTCATTTCACCTTGTTGTTTCAGTTGACATTACTTAATGGAAAATGAAATATAAAATCCTCTTTCACTTCTTAATGTACAATGGCGCACTTGAAGATGCTCAGTATATAAGATTTATACATGTATTTCACTAAGCCGGAAACCTGAAGCAAATTTTCATACATATATAATGTTCAATATTGTCATTTAGTGAAGAACCTTATTTCTTATTATATACATGCTGGGTGGATCACAAAATGTACAACCTGATTTTTTATTAGATACATGTTGCACCAAGCACAACATTCGTTTACAAAAGTGTTGTTACAGCATTGTTTTTTTATCTACAAATTAAACCAACCAAAACTTGTACATGCGGCTTTATATAGCCGTTTTTATTAATGAATCATACCCATTAATACCACGCTCATTATAACCATAGCAGACACCTTTTCTAACATTTATTGCAACTTGACAAAAAATATCCACTGAAACAGTGTGAAAATTAATATTTAAGGCAAAACAAAAAAGAGAAAACACATTATATGCTCTTAAAAAATGGGAGTTTTGCTAATATTACTCATTGTCTGAAAAAATTTAAATGTCAAAAGACAGATTTGATGAAGGAAACAAGGGCAATATAATATGGAAATTAATTAATTAATCAGGGAAGTAATTACAGACCTAAGACAGTAAATACCACACGTGAATAAGATAGAGTATGACAAACACCTGCGGTGTCTCATATAGAAAGGTACGCGCAGCTAAAAACCGTAGAGAAAAACAGTCTCACAAATCTACAGCATCATCTGTAACAACCACATAGAAGATACAGGGCTTCATAATCACTTCACAGAAAGCTGTACCATTCTAAAAACATCAGAGCTTGTAATAGCAAAACAAAAAGCAAGCACATAATTTTTCATAATGATTCACAGCAAGTGCAACAGATTGCATAATATTGGGATCATTAAAACACTTTTTTATAAAATATACAAAGAGAAATATTTGATAACAAACAATGCATTTTATGTCAGTTCAAGGTCTTTGTTTGACATGCATGCACCAGATTTAAAAGTGCAGTCATGTTTCTTTTAACAGTGCAGTCATGTAAATATGGATATTTGCAAACACATCTTTATGATATAAATTTTCAAAGTACAGCAAATCTAGATATGTAAAATTAAAATCTTTTATTAAAAAGAAACAAATTGAAATCGTAACTGAAAAAATGAGGACATTATTTTTGTATTGACTCTGTATAATTTTTTAACTGTTTTTCAATTAAACACCATATTCTTTTTTCAGACTGGACAGCTCCTTGTTACCAAATAGTCCAGAAGGTGATTTCTGTAGATTTGAAATGACAGTCTGGATATCTGAAAAAGAGACCAATCTAAACATAAAATCCTGACATAATAGTTATATCTGTCACGACATATCTGAATACAGGTACAATGTATTTTTAAAAAAACACAAGGTAATGTACAATGTAAGATAGTACATGTATCAATTTGAAAGTTGTAAAAGTTTTAAACAATGACTGCAATGAAAAGTAAAGACATGTGAATGAGTGGTGGGAGTGGGGGGGTTTACTGTTTACTTTTTAGAGTACACTGTGGGATAATCATTGTTCATGGGTCACCCTTATCCACAAATTTACATCGATCCCCATACTTTATTTTGTGAAATTTACATATTAATTCATTAAATCTAGTGTATAAATGAGTAACCCACATAATTATGTCCTCATTAACTTGAAATAAAAAACATTGTCAGGACCCAATTTAAGGCATTAAAATGATTCCACAGTATATAATTTATTACGATCAGATACAGTAGGTAATTTAGATTGATTGATTGATTGTATACTGTTTAACGTCCCTCTCCAGAATATTTCACTGATATGGAGACGTCACCATTGCCGGTGAAGGGCTGCAAATTTAGGCCTATGCTCGGCACTTACGGCCTTTGAGCAGGGAGGGATCTTTATCATGCCACACCTGCTGTGACACGGGGCCTCGGTTTATAAATACGGTCTCATCCGAAGGACCGCCCCATTTAGTCGCCTTTTACGACAAACAAGGGGGTACTGAGGACCTATTCTAACCCGGATCCCCACGGGACAGGTAAATTAGAGTAAAAGAGGTACAAATTTTACAATATATGAATCTAGTAATTACCTTTCTTTTCAGCCGTAGATAAAAACATGGCATTCATAGAAAATCGTGGAACCTTGGTTAAATGATACAGAACACTGTAGCTCAAATCCACATCACCTGAAATAATAAATAAATAGACAGTCAGTTATGCATCCTACAACCATTGTTTAAAAAATGTAATATTTTCTTTAAAGGGAGTAAGTTTTCCTAGTTTCAAAATGTCTTGTTTAATTACTTTCTATGTCATTAAACTACGTGTATCAAGGTAAGCAACTCTCTTTAGTCTTTATGTAAATGTCTACAATGGAGTTCTCTTTCTTGATTTTAATTTGAATAGAATACATATGATACCTTGGGTGATGAATTTTTCTGCCACACACTTTGTGATTTTGTTCAGCATTGGACCATCAAGTTTATTACTTATAACTGAAAAAAAAAGGAACAAAGATTACAATTTGCATTTCCCAAACTGACCTGGGACTCTGGACATGATTGTTTCAGAAAAAAGGAATTATAAACTTTCCATAAAAAAAGATTTCTTTCTCCTAACACAGCCTCTGTTTTTGATCAAACTAGATGATTTGTATGTACTTTATAAACATACATGTACAGACATAACATAAACAGTTTATTTCTGCTTTTCAGCTTCCTGCTTAAATTCTTACAATGTTACTTTGCAGATGTCTAATATTGGTATGTTATAAGTACGAGTTAAGATATTCATGATAATTCACAAGATTTTACCTTGAGGTAGATCTTTAGGGGAAATCTGTCTCAACAAATCAGCGTACGGTTGTGTGTCTGTCACATTCTTCAGGGAATTCCATGCCTGAATGAACTCGTATGGAGTGGCCTTCTCTAACTTCGGTGCTGCCGGGGGAACCACCGGAAGTCCAGCACTCGTCGGTTTAACACCGGATTTCTGATTGGCTTTACTGGGAGGCACCGGAGTGGATGATGATTTTTGTGAAGTTGATGATTTCTCTGATGTAGCCGACGATGTTTCTGAGGATTTTTGCGATGATGTTTGTTCCACTGTAGACTTGTTTTTCTTGCCTTTCTTTTTAGACTTCGGTTCTTGATGACTTGATTGGTTGGCTGGTTTGGCCTTGGGACCAGGTTGTTGACTAGGGGAGGAACCAGTTTGTTTAGGACTGGCACCAGGTTCCTGGGTGGTTTGTATTACACTGGGCTGATTGGATGATTTCTGTGTCTCCTTTGGAGCTCCTTGTTTACTCTCCTCTTGCTTTTCTGAAATATACAAAATTAATGTCCTAGCTTACCTGTAGACTAAAACTCTTACAAGAAACATTCTTTTCTAACTGTCACATCTAATATATTGTAATCTTTGCACCTGTTTTACTACCTAAATATGAAAATAACCTCTCCAGTCAATGTAATAATTGCATCTTGAGTGGTGCAAAATAAAATTTATTGAGTATCTGCTTACAGACTATCACTGCATAAGGCAAAAGAAATTACTGGTAAAACATCTCAGAAACTGTTGCATTGATCAATTCTATTGACATAGTGAAAGGGAAATAACTCAATTTTCTTTCCTTCCAAGTTGAAAAATAGATTGATGTGTATTTAGTTTTTTTTAGTAGACACAATATATTAACTTTCATACAAAATTAATGATTAATTGAAATGGCATTATTCTGAAGTTGAGAAAATCTTATAATTAATGTAAGAGAATGAACAGTAACCAGAAGTCTCTGTCGAGACTGAAGCTCTACTGGTTTGTACTTATAGCAAAGGAAGAGGAAAGTACTTAAGCAGTTGGGAATTGAAAATTTACACTAGCAAAAAGGAGAATAATGATCCTTGAATAAGTCTCTTTATGTTCTTAGTTTAGTCTTCTTGCATGCCACATTATATTATAATCAGACTAAAACTGTATTTGAAGTTGCATTTTGAGAGTAACAGAAATTGCTACCTTTATTAACCAAGGTAATAATGTTCATTGAAGTCAAAAACCGATACACAGAATTATGTATCTTAGTGTAGTCTACTTGTGTGCCAAGTTATATTGAAATCAGACCAAAATTGTAGGAGGAGTAGCATTTTGAAAGAATTTCACAGAAATTTTTATTTTTAGTAACAACGCCAACACACGTTCATCGAAATCAATAACGGATATATAGAATTATTATCTTAGTGTAGTCTACTTATATGCCAAGTTCTATTGAAATCAGATCAAAACTGTAGGAGGAGTAGCATTTTGAAAGAATTTCACAGAAATTTCTATTTTTAGTAACAACGCCAATACCGTTCGTCGAAATCAAAAACCGATACAAAGAATTATGTACCTTAGTGTAGTCTACTTGTGTGCCAAGTTATATTAAAATCAGATCAAAACTGTAGGAGGAGTAGCATTTTGAAAGAATTTCACAGAAATTTCTATTTTTAGTAACAACGCCAACACCGTTCGTCGAAATCAAAAACCGATACACAGAATTATGTATTTTTGTGTAGTCTACTTGTGTGCCAAGTTATATTGAAATCAGACCAAAACTGTAGGAGGAGTAGCATTTTGAAAGAATTTCACAGAAATTTCTATTTTTAGTAACAACGCCAACACCGTTCGTCGAAATCAAAAACCGATACACAGAATTATGTATCTTAGTGTAGTCTACTTATATGCCAAGTTATATTGAAATCAAATCAAAACTGTAGGAGGAGTAGCATTTTGAAAAATTGTTTACAGACAGACAGACGGACAGACGGACGGACGCCGGACGCATTACTATCGCATAAGCTCTTCTGGTCTCTGACCAGTAGAGCTAAAAATTAATTGATATCATGAATTTGTTGATCAAATTACATAAAGAGAACATCCAGCGGTACTTCCATCAAAAGTTCATGATAATAATAGCTTGAGAAACTTAACTTGAGAAACTGAGGATTACTTGAGGGGGGGGGGGGCTTACATGTACCTCATGATTAATCTAATATATTTTTGCAAAGTTCTTGTAAATGCATAGCAATGAAGGAGATAACAGGTTTTAAAGTGCCCTGCCACAGCATGATATGCCCGTTAAATATTGTCCAGGTATCATTAACAGGGGGGCATGAATGCCATAACTTAATATGTTCCATCTTAATTTAAGACGGGCATATAAAAAGAGTTGTCCGTTTTTTTATGATTAAAATTCAATTGAACTACTGACTTACGATTCCTACAGTTGGTTTATTCTTGTTCTAGAGTTTGCATGTTTAACACAAATTAACAGAACAACACCATTGTCCTACCTTCAGACTCTACTTCCTCTATAACCATTCGTTTCCTGGTTTTCTGTTTCCCCTTCTTTGGCTCAGGCTTCTCTTCACTCTTGCTGGCTTCCTGATGTTTAGATTTTGGCAAACTGCCTTTTGAAGTTGTTTGGGGCTGAGAAGATTTCTGATTGGTTGAGGATTGACCTTTCACCTTTGACTTCTTATCTTCCTTGGATGGCTTTGCCTCGTCTTCATTTGAATCACTGCTGGAGCTTTGGGGTGGACGAGATTTTAATTCCTATAGAAATGATGATTACGTGTACCTCATTATTCATACACATATCAACAAGTGTTTTCTCTTATAGAGCTCTCTTTGAGCAACCTTTTCTTATAACTAGATAGAAATAACTTGACAAATAGGATCCCATTTTACAAATTCATTAAGGCTTAAAGTCACGAGGGCTTAACTTGTGATCATTTATCAAAAACGTATGACATATTCAGCTTACACAATTGAGTTTTGAAAAACAATTTCTTTTTGTGTCGGGCTTATGATAGCCTGTTTAAAATATACAGGCTTGACTGTACCTCTCGCCAGTAGTCCTTGACCAGCTCTAGTTCTCGTTTGGCAGCTGTATTTTTGTTGTCGACCCGCAGTAAGTGAACCAAGTCACTTAAACTGTCTTTGAACTTCTTAAGCATCTGCAAAAGAAAAGAATAGAGTATAATTTTTTAAACAAAACTATATCTGGGCGAATTCAATACTGCATTACATGTTTGCAAGTGTGAAAGGGCAAAAATAACACAGGGTGAAAATAACCCTCTATACAGTACATGTATATGTAACCAGCTTGCACTTGTTGCATGAAAATCATACAAATGAAACATTAAATTTGAAAAATGATATTCATACATTTTGTGATCATCTCTGTAGGGCTGTCACGGTTCGAAAATTTTTCGGTTCGGGTCGGTTCTGATTTTTTAAGGTTCGGTTTCGGGTTTTTTGGTTCGGGTAGGTAATGGAACAAGAGGCCCATGGGCCTTATAGGTCACCGGAGCATCATGCAACAACTTTCAAATGATTGAATTTGGTTCATGTTTTAAGCTAGATGCTATGGCATTCACAATTCTGAAAGAGGCACCATTGCTAATCATAATTATACACTTAGCAATTGTTTAGTTTGTTTACTTAATATGGATAAGCAGGGTAGGGGAACAAAAAAGTATGTCAACTAATCAGTAATATTCAGCAATAATCAGGAGTGCTCCTACCACACATGAACCCCTGATCCTAGGTCTACACATTGCACAATTTTTGAAAAGGCACACTTGCTTATCAAAAATGTTTGATTAATACCAAGGAGCAGATTTCAAACAATTCATTTTCAGTATATAAGTAGAGCACCCCCTCCCATTTTGGTATCTCTGACCCAGGGGCCTTGAAATTCACAATTCTGGAAGAAGAGCCCATCCCATCATAAGTATGTTAATAGTTCATTCTGCTTATTACCCAGGAGTAGAGAAAAAGATTTTCATAGATGTAATGTATTTTCACAATATAATCATTATAGAGCCACATCCTAACACCATAACCCCTGACCCTGGGGCCATAAAATTCACAATTTTGGTAGAAGCATTCTTGCTCATCATAACTATGTCCTTAATTAGATTATTTAATACTCAGAAGCAGAGAAGAAGATTTTAAAAGATTTAATGCATTTTCACTATATAATCATTTGAGCCCCGCCCTAACACCAGAACCGCTGACCCTGGGGCCATGAATTTCACAATTTTGGTAGAGGCACTCTTGCTCATCATAATTATGTACTTAGTTAGTTTATCAAATACTCAGGAACAGAGAAGAAGATTTTCAAAGATTTAATGCATTTTCGCTATATAATCAATAGAGCTCCGCCCTAACACCAGAACCCCTGACCCTGGGGCCCTGAATTTCACAATTTTGGTAGAGGCACTCTTGCTCATCATAACTATGTACTTAGTTAGTTTATTTAATACCTAGTAGCAGAGAAGAAGATTTTCAAAGATTTAATGCATTTTCACAATATAATCAATAGAGCCCCGCCCTAACACCAGATCCCCTAACCCTGGGGCCTTAAAATTCACAATTTTAGTAGAGGCACTCTTGCTCATCATAACTATGAACTTAATTAGTTTATTTAATACCCAGGAGCAGAGAAGAAGATTTTAAAAGAATTAATGCATTTTCACTATATAATCAATAGAGCCCCGCCCTAACACCAGAACCCCTGACCCTGGGGCCATGAATTTCACAATTTTGGTAGAGGACTCAATGCTGATTACAATCATACCAACAGTTTGACTGCTTGATGTCTGGGAGTAAAGAAGAAGATTTTTAAAGATTGCACTAATTTCAGTGGTTTTTGCCCCACCCCCCAGGCCCCAGGGGGGCAGGGACCACGAAATTCACAATTTTTGTTCCCCTTCACCCATAGATGTTATATGCCAAAATTGGTTGAAATTGGTTTAGTGGTTTCAGAGAAGAAGCTGAAAATGTTTAAATGTTAACGCACGACGCACGACGGACGACGACGGACAAAAACAGATAGCAATAGGTCACCTGAGTTTACTCAGGTGACCTAATAAAAGCTTATGATCTGTATTTTTTTTTCAACAACAAAAAGAATATTTTCATGTAATCTTAGAAATAGCAACATTATAACTAGTTTAAAGTAGTTTCCTGACTAGAAAACAATTGTACTGAATTACTGAAATCACCTTATAATGGCAATGTACTAACAAATCTCGTTTTTGACGCCATTTTTATAGTAAAACCTACTCTATTATACAAATCGGAACTGAACCGAATTCCGGAAAAACGGAACTGTACCGGACCCAAATTAATTGTCCCGCGGTTCCGGGTCATTTTGGGTACCCGTGACAGCCCTACATCTCTGTATTTTAGATCCATCATTACCTTTTTGGCCTGTGCCCTCCTGAACAGAGCTTTCACATTGTCCTCTTCTATTGACAGTGCCGTGGTACAGTCCTGTTCCGCTTGTTCTGGTTGGTTGATTCGGATGTAACACAGCGCCCGATTGGTGTAGCTGACAGTCTGTCTGGGATCTAACTCTATACAGCGGGTGTAGCACTCTATAGCTGGCTTAAACTCTGACTGGAAAATGAAATAGCTATCATTTTATAACTTTCATCTCAGAAATGACCACTTTTGTCTTTAGTACGCTAAATGTAACACATGATAATTATTAAAAGTAGTACAGTTTTTACATTTGTATTCATATTAATGAATAATCAATAGGTATTCCATGTGAAAAGAGCTTTACATATATGATATAATTTCTGATTATACCAATCAGTCTAGATTCTATATCGATTCACTTAATTTTCAATACATCAAACTATAAAGATGTAGAACACAATGATATCTTGATACCTACATTTTTCACATGCTCATTCCCCCTGCTTTTAATCTCATCAAATGACTCTTCTTTTACAGGTTTTGTAGATGAATCACTGGGTATCTGGCTTCCTGATGATGACGATGATGAGGACGTTGCAGATGATGGTTGTGATGAGGGTGATGA